TTGCCATGTAAAATAAAGCTTTGTTTATCTGAAAAATTATAGCATCAAAGAATGTGTTCAATAGGTATGTGTTTTGTTAGAATTCTGTGATTTTCAGCAGAGCCTAGAATTCAGTGGTTTTCAGCAGAGCCCATCTTTGTTAATGATCCAGTGGTATGACTACAGCAGTGTGAAAGATTGGAAGGCTGATGATATTATGGATAAATATGCTAGATTAAATAATTTGGAGGAAGTAGTAGGTGAACAAAAAAATTGTAGAAAGAGATAGTGGTAGAGACTGGTCTAAATTTTGGAAATCACATGTATGTATATATACATGTTTAAAAAAAAAAAGCAAAGGTTATGCAGGCTATTTGGTAAATTATATAAGAAAGTATGTCAATAAGATTTGTTTGTAAAAGGGAATGACAAAGTCAACAAAAGAGCAGATAGACATATCCATTATTTACATCCATGCTTAGGCACACACAGGCACACATACACAACTCTGCCCACATGTCCACATCCGTGCCCTTACATACACTCAAACACAAATGTAAATACACGCACACACACACAAACACTCACACACAAACACTCACACAAATACTCACACACAAATACTGTAAAGAACAAGGAAAAAAAATACAGGAGAAAAACACAGAAACAGGAAATAGATAGAGCCTATTGAGTGAGAGACAGCGATACACATGAATCTCTATTAAGAGAGTAGACCTGATTGTAAACAAACAATTGACCAACATTTAGGGAAGAGAAAGGAGCACTCAGGACCATTGTGAATGTAAAGGAAGTTCATAATAGACTGTGATTGGAGAGGGCAGCAGGGATATGCTTATCAGGGGTAGGGGCAGGGGGGAAGGGACTGGGGGTTGCTTATAAAGGACAAGGCTTTTGTGTTTTTTAAGTAAGGGGAACTTCTGATTAAACATTTGAAGATTTTTTTCTTCTTCGTCTTCCTCCTCCTCTTCTGTTTCTATTTCAAAATCATTTGGCCAAAACAAAAAATGGATAAAGAGATAAAGAAGAGGAAGCTAGGAAGAATCTAATCAATTTGCAAGTATTTAAATCAGAGTTTTAGAAAACATGTTGGTATAAATTTACATTTTAATGGGAAGAAGTTTATTTATTTGAAAATGCATACAGGTTTTTGTCATTATTTTTACTAGTATCATTTGTTTATTTATTTATTTATTTTTGTTGTCATTCCTAGCATCTTTGCTGGTTTTACTATATTTTTCAGCATCCTGAAGAAAGTATAAAACTTAAGATATTTCACTTGCTTGCAAGAAGACAAGCAAGTGAAAGTATTTGAAGTATTTTATTCTAATTGCAAATTCTTATGAAAATGATTTTATATTCTTTTCTTTATTGTTTTCGAGTTATTTAGTGCATGTTTCAGCTCTTCTTATTTTCTTTTATTTTCCTCTTTTCTTCCGTTCTTTCTACATTCTTGTGAATTGGCCAAGTGATTTTTACTTCTTTTATTTATTTTTTTTTTCACCATTTTTTCTTTCTTTTTCTTTTCTTTTCTTTTCTTTTGCATGTTTGTGTATGTATGCATGCATCTGTCTTGTCTGTCTGTCTGTTTGCTTATTGTTCATCATCTATTGATTCAAATTTAATTGCCCATTCTTACAAGTTAATAATTTCAACAAATGTAAATGACTGATTGTTTTGATAGTTTGCCCAAATGGAAAATGTCATTAGGCTACAGTACATGACAGAAACCCCTTTTGCCTTATCATTGTGTGTGTTTGCAGCGATGAGAAATATCAAAATGAAATCACTGTAATTATGAGAGGAGTGAAAATGAACATGAAAGAGATGAAACTTATGAAAGGGATGAGATGAATACAAAATAGCTGATGAGAGTGATATATGTTAACCCAATTTCGACAGGAAAATGGTGTGTCCCCTTTGGCAATGCTTGGTTAAATGTTTCTGCACATAGATGGCTCTGCCAATGCTTAGCCACAAAGGAGTCAGTTAGTAGATATTGCGACCTCACATTTCCTTGAAAAAGTGGGAAAACACTTTTCTTTATTAATGCTATCAATATTGACCCTGTTATTTTTGTTATAAACATTATAATTACTATATTGTTACTGACATTACTAACAGCAGTATTAGATATTAGAAAATATAAAAAATCAAGGAAAAGGGTAAACAGGTGAGACAGTTAGTTCGCATATTTGGCTCAATTGTGACTTAGTACTTGTGGAGCCATCTATATGTAAAAACAGTTACTAAATTCAACACACGCAATGGGCAATGGCATATACGTACATGCCATGCCCGGCAGCTTGGGTTTGATTAGAATATTTAATATTACTAGGAAGAGTTTGATACAGAGCCACCAGTAGCATGGTGGCAGTGGGAACACCTGCCCCCCTTACCTTTTGCCGTAGGGGCAGTGGGGGCAGCATGATGCCTTCGTAAAGATGCCAACAAGCATGTTTTCCAGTAGAAACGGTTGTGAAAAAGACGTCAATGTTGGAACTTTCATCCAAGATCTCAAAAGGCATCCCTTGGATGACCACCTTTTGATCAGTGTTGTCATTATCTTTCTTAAATGTTTGCCCTGGCCATACAAAGGAAATTGGTGATAGGAATCAGTGCTAGAAAGAAAATCTTTTAACAAGATTTTGTAAGCAACCCAGATAAAAAAAAGGGGGCATTAGTAAGTATATGCCCCGTATACAATACAGCATTGTTTTTTTTAGAAATACACTCATGAAAGGCTAGGCATAATGTGAATGTAAATGAAGTGAGTTCAGAAAGTTGGTGGGTATCTCAAATAAATTTTTAAACATTTGCCATCATTTTAGATATATTTCAGTGCCATGGAAGTCAATAAGGACAGAGATCTTGCTTGATTTCTATGACCCTTTCAGTTTAATTTGTTAATTTTTATTTGAATGCTGCAATTTGCTTTTACTGTGTGTGATTCTGTTAATTGTATTTTTGAAAAAATTGACAGTTACTTTGGTTGCTAAAGAGGAACTTCAAGAGAATTATTTAAAAATTGCAGAAAATATATAGGTTGATGTTCTTGTTTGATCGATGCCACATTCACATGAAACAACAACTGCCCTCAAAGGATTGGAAATTGTATGCAAAGCAATACGAAATAATTAGTGCAGGAGTATAACAACATAAAAAATGTGACTTGAGAATCAAAGAGTAACCACTCGATGCTCATGACAATTCTGTTGCAATGAACAGCTTACAATGACAATGAAATCATATATACACAATCATCTGCATTGAATAACATCAAGTTGTGAGAGTATGAAGCATGATTCCTTTCACCCTGTGGCTACAGTGGAGCATTGACAAATCAAGGCACTTGCTAGCTACTCGGATAAGTAATTGGAGTGACATTCTTTCATTAGTTAACAAATTTTTCATTCCAATTATTCTTTGTATTGACCCTGTATTGTTGCCATTTAACCCAATAACGATGGTAAAATGTGTTCACGTTAGCATTGTTTTGTTAAATGTTTCTGCACATAGATGTCTCTGCCAGTGCTTAGCTGCAAAGGAGTCAATTAGTAGATCTTTTGACTTCACCTTTCCTTGAAATAGTGGGAAAATGTTTTTTTTACTTATGCAATCAATATCGACACCGTTATTTTTGTTATAACCCTTATAATTACTCTATTGTTATTGACATTGCTAGCAGCAGTATCAAGTACTAGAAATTATTATCGAAAATCAAGGAAAAGGGTAAACAGGTGGGACAGCTAGTTCTTGTAATTGAGTCATAGGTGACTCAGTACTTGCGGAGCCATCTGATTGTAAAAACAATTACCAACTTAAACACACAGTGGCCATGGCATGTACGCGCATGCCGTCGCCAACGGCAAGTGGTTAATCATATATTCATTTTGCTAAGCTTTGTCTCAGTTCAGTGATGTCATAATTAGTTTATTTGTTTGTAAATTTAACCACAGAGAACCTAAAAGTGTCATGGTCTGTATGCTGGTTACAGTTATTATTCTGGAGGGTCAGATAGACTACAGAAGTATGACATTTATCCCCAATATACATTGTGGATCTGGATATAAAAGACAAAAAAGTAGACATTATGATAAAGCCGTACCAATAGATAAGTGCCTTAAAGCAACCATGTAGAGAACAGACATGTCAACTACTGATGTGCATAAACATGTCTGCTATCTCACAAGGTGATACACAATATTTGACAGTGATTTCCATCTGTAGAGCTGATTACAAGGCCAATATAGCATTATTTTTTATTTACTTTAAATAGATGAATAAATAAGGTACAAAGGAAAATAGACCTATTTGTTCATATGTAATTTTGGGTGTCAAACTTTGTCTGGCTGAGTGTTCATGTCACTCAAAAATTGTCCTCCCATCGGGGTTAGCCCTTCCATGATGCTGGTATAAAATTATGCTTTACATTTCATTTGCATGTGTAGGTCTCTAGATAAGAAATAGCGTATTTGAAAGCGTGTATGGGTGCTGAAGTACCATTGGGCATATCTTACCTCCATGCTCAGTGCCTGAGAATAGTAGTGGCACATAAAACACATTGAGTACAAATGTAAAAGTAAATCAGGATCTTGGAACACTTATGGTCAGTCTTCTCTTTCTACTTTGACTGCTGGTAAGGGTTGCATTGTACCATCTAGTCAGGCAGCAAGGGAGGTTTTATGGAATTGTGTTAATTTTAAAAAAAATCTAGTACCATCTAGTCTGGCAGTGAGGGAGCTTTTATGGAATTGTGCTAGTTTTAAAAAATCCTGATAACACAAAATTGCTTGAAGTATGGTTTTAGTTAGTAAAAATTATCATTTTTGCAAGTGATTGTAAAACTTTTGTAAAAGAAAAAAAAAAAAAAAAAAGTGTCAGATAGATACTAAATGTCCCTAGTTCCTCCTTTTGATTGTACACATTTAAACAGCAAAATTGATTTTTTTTTTTTTTCAAACTGGCAAAATGTTTAACCTTGTTTTTTTTTTTCTTTTCAGTTACCAGCAGCAGACCCATTCTTGGAGAATATCAGTAGGAGTGACTTAGGTATGTATATAATTATTCTATGTCACTCTTTGGAGTTTTATCTTTTCTAGATATATGGTTCTCCTTTAGCACTTCACCTTACCTCTTTTCATTCAAATACTCTGTCCTCTCCTTCTCCTCGGCTTTCCCTCAATCTTTCCATGCCCCTCACTTTTCTTCTCTCCCTTCCTCACTCCCCCCTCCTTATCATTTTAATCCCCTCTCACTTTCTTCCTACTTCAATAATTTTTTTTCTTCTTCTTTTTTTAATGACTACGTGTTTTTCCTACTGCTATTTTGGCTGCAGCATGCATACCTTTCCAGGAAACGAGGGTAATAATAAAGTCTACTTTTGAGAGTTGTAATATCTGACTGCAGTTATGGTCAGGCAAGTGAACAACTGTAATGGACAATGGCACTTATACTTGTTATTCAGCATTTCAACTCTGTTCCAGCATTGATGCGTTAGTATTTAGATATCAGAAGGTGCCTCATGTTGCCATTTGTTTAGCATATAGATATTTGAATGAAGGCAAAAAAAGTTTGGCAAGAATAGGTGCCATGCAGCATTAATGGGTTAGTATTTAGGTATCAGAAGGTACCTTATGTTGCTATTTGTTTGATATATAGATATTTGAATAAAGACAAAAAAGTTTGAGACATATGTTAGGACCTTTCTGTTCTTGAATCTGTACTTTAGGATGCCATTCAACTTTGAAATAGCTTTTGTGTGAAAGTATTATCGTGCTCTGTGTAGATGTAGCCTGTATACATTACACTGTCAAAGAAGGACATGGGACGCATTCATGAATGATATTAGTACTCCTGTTACTCACATGATCTTGGCTCCTACCCAGGAAAATTCAGGTCAAGACTATAGGTTTGATATTTCCATGCCTTTAGTAAGTAAGGAATTTTGTTTTCATGCCGATTGCAATGATAGTTCCTTTGTTAAGATGTTCTTGATAATCCTATTGTTTGTCAAGATTGTTAATTAAGGTTTTGTTTTTGTTTTGCATCACTTCCTTTGGCACTCTTTTGAACATACTTGATGCTGTTCCAAGGAGAATATCTTTGGATTCACAATTGATAACTGGATAAAGCTTTAAGAGGATGTAATACTCAATACTTTGTTTGTATTTTCAGTCAGGAAGTAAAGGCATAGATTTTATCCATATTTGCTTGTTTTCGGAATTCTGCTTATTGTCTCCCTAAAAGAGAAGAGAGGTTTTGAGGTTAAAATAAGTTATTAATTTTAAAGATGGAAATATTTTGGATTTTTTATTAGTAGTATTTACGTTTTATTCTCGTTTTTAATTACAGATTCACCAAACACATACCTATGTGTAGTTTATTACTTTTTAAAATAGTCACTAGCATTTTCTCGGATCTAAAGAGTGCCAAACTCTTGTTTGGCAGTTTGACAACCTGTTACTGGGATAATTGTGTGGGGGTGTATGTCTGTGTCTGCACCAGAGTCTGTACCTATGTCTGTATATTTCTCTCTTCCCATTGTCTCTTCATTTCTGTGTATGCAATTGTAGGTATGTACGCATGTTTGCAAAATGTGATAAAAGGAAGTTGAGACATGTACACACATTACTGGAAATATTTTTCTTCTGTTAACTATTGTATGTTTAAAAAAACTTTGTACTGGCACTTGGACTGAAAGTCTGTAGAGGAGTCAGGTATTCTTTATTATGAATGGTTATACTCTAATTCTTAAAGAGTTTTTTTATGAAGAATTATTTTTAGATAACTCTTGTTTTGAATTTTATCTAAATGTATGTAGAACAAAATAATGTTAAATATCTCTTGGCATACAAATGTTGAATATCATATTGCAGAAAAGGAGGTTGTAAATTATAGGTATTTGATGTGATAACAGATTTGGTGCCAAAAGTTTTTGCCACTTCTCTTGCTCTTTATTTTCTTTGTACTTTTCTTTTTTATGTTCTTTGCATTCATTTGATTTTTAAGCATTTATTTCTTTTATTGTGAAAAGGAAATGTTGACTACCATTTTCTTTCTTTTTCCCTCTTCTATCTTTTTTTCTCTCTTTTTTGCTATTTATTTTTCTCTTCTTTTTTCTTTCTTTCTGTTTTCTTTTCTTTTCTTTTTTTTCAAGGGAAAATTTCTTCATTTGACATTATCTAAATAACCATGCCCGCTCAAAACAGATGCGGTATACTATTCTACTAAATGGTGCCATTAACGTTCTTAGTTTTTAGAAGGAAAAGGGGAGGAGGAATAAGGGAAGGGAAAGGAGAAGAGGGGAAGAGGGGAAAAAATATAATTGGATGCAGTGAAGGTATACAAGATTGAAGCAGAGTTGGCACCTTCCCTGGCCAGCCTGTTGCTGCTCTGGGGTCTATTTTTATCCAAACTGCCTTAGATCTCTTGGGTGTGGCTAAGGCTTTGGCTTCATTACATCAACTAATCAAACATTTTATGGAGTTTGTGACTAGTCTAAACTTTTTTTCTGGGATTTTGTTTGAGCAAATTATGTTTTCTCATTTTGTATTAGGATTCTTTGATGTACTTAAGTTATCAATGGTGTGCTGTTTGAAGTAATAGATTAAGAATATGAAATTTCTTTTTCTTTTTCTGGATAGGAAATTCTTTCATCCATCTTGAAGTGACAGCACTTTGTTTTTTGTGTCCTGTGGGAAAAATATACCCTAAAAAAGAGGAAGCAAAAAGCAAAGGGAGACAGTGGCAGGTGCCAAGGGTGAGCGGGTGAAGGTGTAAGAAGACGGGCAGAGAGCCAGTGTGTGTGTGGCTGCCACTGGTGGTTGTGGAAGGTCCCCCTTCATGCTCACAGTCACTCTCGATTGTATTGCTTCTGTCCCATCTCTGCCTTTTGCTCATGTGATGCTTGCCTGTCTTAGGGAGAGACACATCAGAGATTTATGTATGAGGCACGAGTGATGCAGCAGTTGTATAACGTTTAGTTTACTGACAAGCAAAGTTTATTTGTGGTTGTGTTCATTGCTATTGTAGTGTTAAGTACATCTGAAATGGAAATGACTTAATTCTGAAATTGAAGATGTTTTATTTAGATAATGGATAGACCTATAAGGATGCAAGAAAGATAGTTTCATGTTGAAACATTATTTTGTGGCAATAAGAAAAAGTGTGCTATTACCAGTAAACCAAAGAAATCTTTCGTATCGGCTGTCATGACCAGAAAGAGATTTTTAATCAATACTTAGGTCATACAGTAAGAGTTTCATATGAACATTCCCAGTTAAGTGCCAAAAAATTACATTAATTCCCCATATATACGTGGAGAGCTTTCAAGCGCAATGGCTATGTGTTTGTACACCTATAGTAATTACCTGACTCCATTCTTTGATGATGACGAGTCAGAATACCCCTTGTCACTTATCAAGGTATTTGAGCCTGTTCACCGGGCTGATACTGATGAATTCCTCAACTCATTAAAAGAAGGTAAATTTTGGTTTCATACTGAAATTTTAGCTTTAATAAGAGGTAGAGTGTATTCCTAGGGTGAGGTTTCTCCTCTCTCTCTTTTTCTTTGTTCATATGATTTTTTTCAATACATGTTTATCCAGTGTATATTTGTGGGTAGTCTGGAATTATTGTGTTACTTCAGCTCTTAAAGCTAAGTCATTTACTACAACTCATCTCACTGACATAGTGAAGGGCATTAACAGCTTATTAAATGTATTCTATGCAACTGTAGACAGGGCATAGTTACTTGGCTCCTTTTGAAAACAACAGAAAAGCTTGTCTGTGATATACATATTTTCTATTTTTCATTCTGGACCATTTGAATTAGCGTCCAGAAAAAATTGGTAAATAGAGTTTGTAGTTTGAGCCCTGATTTATTGTTTGATTGTTATGTGTCTGTCAGCTTACATCTAGATGAAGTTACCCTTGCAGTTTATATTCAAGAGTACATTAAAATTAGTGAAAGATCAATACAACTGGTATTAAGAGAAGATCATTTGCACTTAGTTAAAGAATACCATATAGACTTGAAGAGGGCTAGACTTTGTTAGAGCAGAAGAATTTATCACAGGTTACTTAGCTGAAGGGCAGACAAGGTCATGCTTCAAACAGACAGGGACTTCTGCCAAGATGAAGTGTGAGGCCATGCAATGGTGCTTTACTGCATATAAAGATAAAAAATGCAAGTAATTTAGATAGACCTTGCTATTTTGTGAGTATGAAACCAGGAATATTGTAGTTTTAAATTACAAGTGAATTATAAGATTTTATCCAGTGCCCTCTATTGTTTACTTTTATATTCATGAGGTTCAAGAACCACCTTTTTAAAAGGTAAATATTGTGCAAATACTCTTATAATGGAAGCTTATCAGGAAATCCATATATTGAGTAGTTAAATGTGTTAAATGTGGTGCTAATGGATGTATATTAAATTTCTTGAAAGTCTATGCACTATTATTACTGAATTATGAATATACTAGTATGTCAATTCTTGTGTGTGTAGATAGATAGATAGATCTATTGGGAAAATTTCTTGTGTAAACTCAAAATAAATCAGAATATTATAAAGCATTTTATTAGACAAAGGCAGGAGAGCACCAGTATAAGATATTACTTCTCATTGTACCATATGACCTGACTCTTGACAAGCTCCAGAAGTTTCTCTTTGCCATAGGTCAGCCAGTTAATAATTCTTGGCTCTTTGCGTAACTTTACCTTTTTTTTTCTTCTTCTTCTTCTTCTTCTTCTTTTTTTTTATCATAGCTGCCACTCCTAGTCTTCTCAAATACTCTCAAGGGTATCTTATATTCTTAGAACAACTTTTAAAAGACCTGTGTCTTTCTTGTTGCGATTCAGTGACAGTCGGAATCCACTAGCAAGAGATTAAGTAATCTCATTTCCACTATTCTTAGATGTAAAGACTGCATTGTGTGCCAAGGTGTTGGTTGGCAAGATACGTTCTGTTGCTGGGTTAATACATTGTGCATGTGCGCACATTTATTACTGTGTTAGATATTTATATCTTGTTGAATGTCATTTTTGGTGTACAAGGAGTTTATGGTGTCCATAAATGCAAATATCACAAGGAAGACCAATTTAAAGGCATGTATTCTTATTTAAATAAAATTTGTCATGTTCTGCAAGAGTTTTTGTGTTGTGGATGAAAAGATTGAGTGTCATGATGTTTTTTGTAGGGAGAGGTACAGATATATAACATCCATAGATTTGATTGAAAGATCAAAGTTCCACTTTTCTTCTTTATTTTCTAGGTACTAGGTGAAATGTATAGGTTTCCTGTTTCCATCTTTCTCCTTTTTATTCTTTTCTATTTCACCTACATTTGATTTTGCAACTCATGCTGTGGCTCATGATTTCCCTCCTAATGATTTTTCTCTTCTCTATCTCACTTTACAGAACAAGATGAATCACAGATCTTCGTCAAGTTCTTCAAGTTCCACCACACATACGACCTCATTCCTCTCAGTGCCAAGCTTGTGGTGTTTGACACAAAGTTACAGGTTAAGAAGGTAAGGTTATATCTTCTTTTGTCATATAAAAGTTTCACACCACACACGACCTCAAGTGCCAAGCTCACAAAGTTACAGGTTAAGAAGGTAAGGTTATATCTTCTTTTGTCATATAAATACTGAATTATAGTCATGCAGTTTTTTTGAATGCATTATAGCAGACTCAAGTATCAACTTTTTTAGGCATTATAGCCTTATAGCACTTACCCAGTTGCTATCATGAGGATTGCAGAAATAGGATATGTTTCTTCTTTTTGTGTTTCCTTGCCTGACAAAATACATGTTAGTGCCAAGGTTTCCTGCTTTCATAATGTGAGAGTGTGTAGGTAATTTTACAGAAGTATTGTTGCAATTACTTTTAACCCATTAAGACCGGTATATTTTGAAGTCAAAAATAAAAGATTCTGGGCGGCTACAAAATCAGCTTGCGGAGCTGCCCTGGACTCTGTCCGCCCACCAGCCCCAGCCCACTGCTGCGTCGGAGCGCAAGCCCGGATACAGTGTTAGTGGGTTAAGTTGGAGTGCTCAATTTTAGTGAAAATGAAATACTAGTTCAACAAGTTGGATATACCATGCTGTGTTAACTTTCTTCACCTGTAAACTTTTTAATTGGGTGTCATAAAGGATATCAGTTGATAATTAATCCATGATACACAGCATTAACTAGATTCTGGGGCAGCTGGAATTTAAAGCATCTTTGTAGGGAGTTCAGAGTCATATAACAGAATTCTTGCCTTAAGTAGCACAAAAAATAGTGTGTAGAACTTATATTTTTATCTTTCCTGATACATTGTGCACTGGGAGAATGGCCAGATCTCTTGATTGCACCTGCTGTATTTGTCAGTACCTCAGCCCACACATCATTTTATTTATACTATGTGCTTATTATTTTTATATAATTTGCAAAAAATAATTTTAGATCAGATTATGATTGCATTACTGGAAACTGTAATATGTAGCTCATATCTGTAGCGCAGTCTTTTATTACTGGCACACATTTTCAGAGAAACCTTTCATTGTCTTAACCACATACTCGAAATTTGATTAATATGAACAGTAGCCTTACAAACTGCAGATAATTTGTCTTGGGCTGATGCTTGCCATGTAAGCCCAGATAACTGCTATTTCCATTGAATGCTTTTATAGCAGCATAGATATGAGTTTTATGTAATTACTCTCTATAACCAGGAAACTCTTAAGGTGCTACTCATTCAGACAGTTATAGTTAACCTAATAACCAATTACAAAATTTTGGTAAAGTCAGACATAAACAGGGATTCATTACTATGTGCAGCTTGTATGACTCTGATTAGGACCTAGATTTGGTTAACCCATTTACGATGGGTGTCCCATATATGAGACACCCGGAAAGATAAACATTGCCAGTGTAAAGTTGGATAGGAGCGAATACGTTGCAGGCCGCGGCCGCTGCCCAGGTAGATTCCGAGCCAGCCCCACGTGCCGATTTTATAGCTGCACGGTTTCAAAATATACCAGCGTTATTGGGTTAATGATCCACAGCTGCAGATTTTTAATAGCAGTGACTACAGAATTTCCGACAAACAGAATACCTCCACCATTTGCAAATTTTCTTGTCTGATAACACGTGTCAGTTTCCTCTCAAAATTCTTATAAAAGTAATTCTTTTCTCCTTTTCTTCTTCCTCCAACTGTCTTCAGCATCTGCTATCGTTTCATCCATAACTGGCATTTTAACAATTTATTCTTTCAGTTCTGAAAACATTTCCAGCACTTAACTCACTCGCTCTCACACTTTCTTTCTTTCTTTCTTTCTTTCTTCTCTTCTCTCTCTCTTCTCTCTCTCTCTCTCTCTCTCTCTCTCTCTTCTTCTTTCTTTCTCTCTCCTCTCTCCTCTCTCTCTCTCTGCTCTCTCTCTCTCTCTCTCTCTCTCCTCTCTCTCTCTCTCTCTCTCTCTCTTCTCTCTCTTCTCTTTCTCTTCTCTTCTTTC